TTGAGAACCTTAGCTCCGATACCATGATACAGTTTGATAACAATTGCTCTTATTGAATGATGAAAGATACTTCCCTATATACAGGGATTACAGGAGAGAGTTTTAATCATAGTAGGAGAAGAACTATAGTAAGAATACAATAAGGAAATAACATAATGAAGAAGGTAATAAATAATAACATTCTATTTCCTAATATATCTATTATTCCTAATAGTCACATAGAAAAGTGAAGATCTTTGTGCGATCATGCATAGCCGGATGCTATCTGCCTTCAGAGACAGGATGGAAGACGAAGGAACACAGAGACATTGTTGGTCATGGTGAGGGATTGGATTGTCAAGATGGTGGAGAAAATAGGGTGAACCTCCATTTTAGAATGTAGATATGTGGTGAGTTAGTCTGGACGGCGAGGAAGAAATGAGGAAGGGGGAAGAGTGGGAATTGATAGAGAAAATTAGGGATCTGGGAGAGGCAAAGTACTCAATTTGTGAAATTGGTTATTTCAGTCTTCATCGAAATAATTTAGGGTTTGGATCGGACCAGATATCAATCTTTAAAATATTCATCTTCTTATTCATAACTCTGGTCTCCATATCTTTAAGGTAGCTACTAGTGAAATCATATCTTGTCTAGATAGCAATCTTCTTTAAATATCTTTTGTGAAGGGAAAGCTGCAGAAGAGATATGAGCAGTCCTCTTCTTCATTACACATGAAGGATGCATTTCTGATCAATCTCTAGAAACCTACGAAGCCTGCATTTAGTTTGTAGTCTATCTTTGACTATCAACCGCATGATGTATTGATGTTTAAGCATAGTTAGCATGTTGCAGACTTGCAGGACGAGGGAATCAATCTCGTTTGCTTTTATCACCCAGCAACCACTTATAGCCTCTACTGGTAGTGTACTTCTTAGTACGAGGCATGCACCTAAATGCTTCTTTAATCTGATTCAACTTTCTTGAGTAATAACAAACATTGGGCAGTTATTGCTGTCCACATTCGTCAATTTGGGCGAGCTGAACAGGCTTACGTAATTTGTTCAGGTTTAGGTGTGGCATTTCGATGAAGACACACCATTAAGACACGAGTCTGGTGGTTGGTTCTGATTTTTATACCACTGCAAAGAAAGCGCTCATAGGAAAAGGGTCGTCTTACCATGAAAAAATACCAATCATGCTAGAGTTGATTTGACTTTGATACCATGTGAAAGAAAAAGATACTCCCCTCGTCCACTTTGAATCTTCTCAGTTTGAATTGGCACATATTTTGATGTAGGATGAACAAGTAATTGATTTTCCATATTTTCCCTTTCAATTTTCTTGTTTCCGTATATTCTTCTTCCTTCGTAACTCGCCCCTGTCCTTCCTTTTCTATCGTTAAATGCACACTTGCCATTCATCTTCAAACCCAAATCTCTTCTTCAACCTCAAATTTATCTCTGCCTTCATGCAACAGAAAGAAATCAAAATCAAAATGCAGAACAAAATAAAAATGGAATTTGTACATAATATGCCAAACACACTAGCGTCCGATCTAAGAGATGAAATTGAGAATCTGTGAATAAAAAATGAAAAACACCAGCAACCCAAAAGAATCAAAGAAAAACTCAGGCAGCCAAAAAAATAAAGATAAAAGAAATATGTGATGAGAAGAGAGAATATGGCAACCAAGAAATCGAAAATCAAATCTAGGGTTCACACTTAGTAATTAATAACCAAATCTAGGTTTGTTGTTGCTGCCCCTTTGTGCATGGGGTGGGTTAGACGAAAAAGTAGAAGAAACGAGATAAGAAGAAATTAGTTGGGTCTGTGGGTCTTATGAAGATTTTATCAGAAAATTGGCCGTGGGGTCCTGGGACCCCATAGGACTCAATGAGGGTGTGCCCTTGGTTCCTACCCCCCAACCCTCCACCCCAGTTCTCCCCTTGTGCCCTCACCCTGCACGCCCCATCCCTCTCCCGTCCCTTAATCCCAAATTTGGCAGAAAATTTTTCCAAATTGGGGATTGAGGGGGGTGGGTGCAGGGGGGCTGGGGTGGGGGGTGGGTTAAAAGGGGGGTAGGAGCTGTCAATTTTATGATTGGAGAACAGTTGGTGTCCCAATTGAACTAGTGTCGTCATTGGTGTATCGTGTATTGGGCAAAGCGAGAGAAAAGAAAAGATGATGAACAGAGCTGGAGAAAATGACATCCAGATAAGAAAAGCGGAAGTCATTTTTCCGCTAATGAAGGCTTGATTTCCATTTACCGAAGGACATTATCAGCTGATTTACATTTTCTTTTATTGCCAAACGCAAGAGAATGTATACTATTAAATATGCTATTAAACCAAAGACAATTTTAGAAAAAAAACTGGTTATTACTTGAGTACCTTCCGAAATCCAAATTGATCCTAAAATTTTCCTTGGTTTAATAGTGTATTTAATCTAAGTTCCAGTTACCAAGTTCCAATTACAAGTTTTTCAGTTATCAGTTTTTAGAATCTAGTTACATGTCTCCGTTTTCCAAACTCCAGGTACCAGACTTAAGGCAAAAAGAACATAGCCTTAGTATCCTAAGTTTTAATTGAAATTATTTCTAGATTGACAATGGGTAGTTTTAAAAGAATTAAAATTTTCCTTTTGCTTTTGTAGGATAAATAAGTGATTATTGAAGTAAGATTGAATGTGCTTTGTGTTTGTATGATATAAGTTAATCATTTTATGCTCATCAGTTTTTGAGTCTACGCAAACAAAAACTACTTAAGTGCTTAATTTATGAGCAAACAACATAACATAGGCAAGAATGTTAGTGAAGAAAAATTGTTAAGTGTAAACCAAGTATTATAGAAAAATTTACTCGAGTAAAAAGCAGTTTTTTGCTTTTGGCTTTTGAAGGTTAGAAAAGTGATTATTTAAGCACTTAAAGCCAACGCCAAAGTGCCAAACACAAAAATTGCTCAAAAGCACTTTTCATAACCCACAAGCAAACACACCGAATTTGATGCCATAATACTGATAAGGCAGGTTTACATTGTCTCAAATACTGTGTTTCATTAGGGGGATCAAACATTGCTGTCATTTTATTAGAGAAAAGAGCATTTTAAGAAGGTACTGCTAAATGCTTTGTCAATTGTGATGATTAATTAGCTGATATGGATACTTTACGCTTTGTCCCCGTGAACTGCAGTAGGCTTGCCCAGTTATGTGCATGGTTATTAGTTCTTAAATCTAATCTTATTTAGATTATAGAATATCAAAAGATCATGTACACCTACATATTTCTTTTCATGCTTTTTCATCAGATTAAATAAGCTCCAAAATAAGTTTTGATGAGACATACAAAGCACGAATGGCAGAAAGAAAAGCAAAAGGAAAGATGACCTTAGGGAATCTGTTTCAATTCATATCCTTAACATTTCCTTTATTTCAATGCACAGACCAATGCAAATGCTCAAGAACTTGCAGCCCTGAAGGGCATAGTTGAGTGTATTCAAGATTACAGTCTTGAAGAGGAGTACCCACTAGATTCACTCCAAAGAAGAATTGCTCAACTGGAATGCTCAAAGACTTACAATATCAGTCTCAATAAAAAGAGATATGCTGAATCACAGGGTAGACAATTGAATCCCAACAAGAAGCCAAATACAAATGGGGTGTCTGCCCCCACTCCAAGATATCCTCCTCTTGCGCATGATTCTCAAACACCAACACCAAATGCGCAGCAGGAATATGACCCGAGAACGCACCATAATTATCATCATCATCCAGCTGATGAAAAGGTGGCCTCGACTTTGCACTCTTCTGATACTGCATTTAGTCAGGGGGTAGGCAAGTGAAGAGCTTAAAAAAGACAGCCCTGACTTTTTCATCATTGTTGGAATGAATTGTGTTTTTAATATCTCGTATCGAATCATTTTCTTGATAGTATAATGTATGATTTTGTGTTTAGCTTAGCGTTAGGGGTAGAGGCCTAAACTCACTTCCTGGCATGTGCCCGGCCAGCTCTACTTTCTTCATCTCAGACTAAGTGAAAAAACACTACGTTAAAGGACTTTCACTTGGCTTCATTTCAAGGGTACTGAAACATATTTATTTTACTGATTTATTTGTTCCTTTGATTATTACTTATGGTGGCTTGCTCAACTTCCGGTGAAATTGACGGCGGGCATCCACTCCAATGTGGTCGTGGCATCAGGGCGACCTCCAAGGACCCCTCAATTGCAAGATTTGATGATGATTTGCAAAACCCCCAATTTTGGACCCAATTTCGAATTTTAGGGTTTTTTCGAGTAGAAAAATTCAGATTCGAGAAGTTACAGGCCAAATTAGACAAAATGGTTTGGATATTATTGATCCTCGTCTCAAGATGAAGAGAATGACATTGGTCCCGCCGGAATTGGACAAAGTTCATTTTCCGGCGACTTTGACCGGCGGGCGGCGGCGGGGCGTGGAAGAAAAGAAAAGAAGAAATAGGGTCAAATTGAAAATTTTAAAATATACAAAATTTGAATTTGGCCCAAATGACCGGAAGTTAACCTAGAAATGGGCTAATGGCTCATTAGTGAAAGGATTGTGTAAGTTCAGGGATTTATTTGAAAAGATTTAAAGTTCAGGTACCACTTCGAAATTCCAGCTAAAGTTCAGGTACCATTGGTGAAATTTACCCATTCTTTGCCTTATGCACGAATTTTCGCTTTCTTACGTGAATGTTCATGACTGATCACTAAGAATTTCGACTCTATAAAAGAGTCTCGTTGGTATGGTTGAAGAGCGGATTCTAAGGCATGTTCTTGATTTACGTCTTATCTTATTAAAGTATTTTAGTATATCCGGAAATTAATAAATAACTTTGATCTGAAAGCGTATTCATGATTCGTTAAACTATCAAGTTTTAATTCTTGTTATTCGTTTCATAAAATCTTCAACGCTGCTTCGGAGCATTCATTCTTCTATGTTTCTAACAAAATCTACATTGATTTTTGTTTATAAAAAACTCATAGGCTCTTTCAATTCCCCGTACTAGCTAGTTTTGCCCACATTATCTCTAAATCCTTGATCCACGACTGATCAAAAATCCCACACGCTTCACCCATAGAAACTTGCGGAGTATTTTCTAGATAGGATCGGAGTGAATCGAAAAAGGTGAAAAAAAGGAGACGAGGAAAAGATGTATACAATGAAGACGATCGAGCACCGTAGCATTTACTCAACCCAGACGACTTGTAAAGAACGGTAAATCGGTAATAACCATCAAACAAATCCCCCTTCTCTTTATAAATTCCTGCTTTCATATTTAAGTTCGATCATCAGTCCAGTCTTAGCTTCGATACAGTATCTTCTTAGCTCGATCAGATAATAATAATGGCTATGGAGATGTTTCAGAATGCCAAGGTGGTGCGGCTGAGGAGCCACCTGAACAAGTACTTGGTGGCGGACGAGGATGGGCAGCAAACCCGACAGAGCAGGACTGGCGGCGCGTCGAGGAGCGCCAGGTGGAGCGTGGAGGCCGTGGAGGGCAACGCCAACGCCGTCCGCCTCAAGAGCTGCCACGGCGGCCGCTACCTTACGGCGTCCGACGAACCCCTTTTCCTCGGCGTCACCGGAAACAAGGTCACCCTTTCCCTCCCGGAGAACATCAAAGATTTGCGCATTGAGTGGCACCCTTTCAAAGATGGGTTTCATCAGGTCTATATCTAATTAATTAATTAATTAACATCACTTTTTTTAGTGAAATTTGCACTGAATAGGACTAAAACATAAGTCATTTTCCAATGTAGGACTTAATTTTTTTTATTCCGTAAATAGGACTTAATAATGGCTAGTGAGAAAATTAATATCCAAATGATGCTGGACATTAAGTTGAATAATGACTAATAGATAATGATCAATGTGGTTCTACATTGGAAAATAAAAAAGTAAATTCCATAAAAGGTCCCCAGTTATAGGTCGTTTTACATATTTAGTCCCTACATATCAAATATTACTAATGTGGTCCCCAATTATTATATTTATTTCTACGAATGGTCCTTTTAAAATTTTCATTAAAACGTGGATAAAATTATAAATTCACACTCCTTTCTCTCCTCAATTAAGCATTCTCCTCCATTGTACTCCTTTCTCAAACCCGTCGCTGAGTTTCTAGCTTTGAACCCTAAACCAAAATCATCACTCTTCTCTCAATTGTTTATCTAACTGGAGGAACGATCATTTAAATTTTGGGTTTAAGAGCTTCAAACTCAGCGACGACTTTGGAAAAGATTATGAGAAGATGAAGAAAGCTTAATTGAGGAGAGAGAGAAGTATGAATATACAATTTTATCCACGTTCTTAACGGAAATGTTAACAAAGGACCATTCGTTGAAATAAATATAATAATTGGGGACTAAATTAGTAATATTTGATATGTAGGGACTAAATATGTAAAACGACCTATAACTGGGGACCTTTTATATAATTTACTCAAAATAAAAACATATGATCCTATATCGAGAAAGTCATTATGTTTTGGTCCTATTTAGATAAATTATCTTTATTTTACTACTCATTGGATACTCATTTATTAGTGATCCCTTAACTCAAATTGGTCTTTCTATTTCGTTTTTTTTACTCAAATTAATCATTATAAATAAAATAATCTCTCCCTCCCAAAAAAAATTATCACAATTTGACTTTTTTTTAGTCAAATTATGTTAAATTTTGATTACAAATTCTTAGAAATTTAAATACAGTAATTCATTCATACCCGTACTGAATCGGTATTAAAAATTGATGTAGATAAAATTGCGGGCATACGGCGGAACTTTTTTGCGGGCCAACGGCGGAGTGCCGCCGTGGAGGAACTCAATAACGCATGACAATGTACCACCTCAAACGACTTCGACCAACAATTGGATTTTGTGGAACGTGGATGCCGTCGATGAGGCGCCGGAAAACGGGACACCGACGGATTGTTTGTCGGCGGCATCTAGCTTCTCGTCCATCTCCAGTCAACTTTCCGGCCTCAATTTGGGTTCCCCGAGTTCCGCACCCTCAACTTCTTCTCCAGGGATATCTAAGGTGCGTTTGTATGTTTGGGCTACTAGCTGCCTCCTCCTCCCAAAATAAATAAAAAAAATCATATCTCCCTGGAGTATTCATATATTCCCTCCCTACCACAAAAAATTTCTCATTTTGAATACGGAGTAATATTTAGTCAAATATTTACACGTTTTGACTACAAATTGTGAGAAAGGTATATTGAATTATAAAATAAATTTAATATAATTGGATTCATCTTAGAATCTAGTTTTGATATCTTAAATTTTTTAGAATTTTTTTATTTAGATTATATTTAATTATTGTCAAAGCGTGTAACTGTTTGACCAAAAATATATCAAAATGGGAACTTTTTTGTGGGACGGAGGGAGTAATATTGTTTTTTAATTATTAAACTAGACAAATTTTGGTCTACTAGGAGCCATAAGTTTTTAATTGCTATTATTATCATATTATTATCATTATAGCAATAAAAAATAATACTACTTTCTCTGTCCATTAATTTCTTTCTCTATTTCCTATTCTGGTCATCCAAAATTTTTTTTCCGTTTCCTATTTTGACAACAACATTTTAATGAATGTGCCATTATACTCCTACTTTTTATCTACACTATTCATTTTATTTTATCACATCAAAGAAAAATATAAAAAGTCTTTATACTTTAACTTTTCTTAATCTCCGTGTCAAGTCAAATAGAAATATTTTTTTGATAGAGAGAGTAATAATTATTCATTCGAGCCAGACCACGGGCTTGAACAATAAACTCAAGCCCGAACCCAAAGTTTGTGGGCATATGTTTATAAAGCCCAAGTTGAGCTTGGCATGTAACCTAAAGTATCAAGCCCAATCGTGCTATATATATATATATATATATATATATATATATATATATATATATATATAGATTTTGGTTCTGGTGAGAATGCGATCTTAGGAGAGAAATGAGAATGAATCTAGTTCTTTAGATTGTGCAATCTAAGGGTCAGGATTGCATCAAAATTAGATGCAACAAAATGGTTTGAAAATGCATCACGTCAAAATGCATCATAATCCTTTGAAAATGCACTATCTCAAAATCTGAGCGCAGGATGGAATCTGAGCCGCACGATGCATCAGATCCAACGACTAGATTTCATTCTCATTTCTCTCCACAAGGTGCATTCTCACAGGAACCGACCCCTATATATATATATATATATATATATATATATATATATATATGTATGTATGTATGTATGTATTTGCAACTTTTATTTATTATTTTTTATATAATTTTTTAAATAAAATGAATTTAAATGTGACATATTTTTCCATTTCAAAAACCTTAATTATCATGCATGAAGCAGACACCTTCAATCACTCCACCAACAAATCCTGCAATGGAGATCTTCCACATGGCTAAGAAGGTGCGGTTGGTTAGCCACCACAAAAAGTACTTAATCGCGGACGAGGACGAAGAGTCGGTGATCCAAGGCCGGAGAGGCGCCGCGGACAACGCACGGTGGTCGGTAGAGTACCCTGAAAATACCAACAACCTCGTCCGCCTGAAAAGCTGTTATGGTAAGTATTTGACCGCTTCGAACCACCCGTTCTTGCTTGGTATGACTGGCCGGAAAGTTCTGCAGACTTTGCCTGACCCCCTCAATTCCTCCGTGGAGTGGGAACCTATTATGGAAGGCAAACTCGTGAAACTTAAGACCAGGTATGCATTAATTAAGTGTTCATTTATCATGCATCAACTTTACCTCATCATTTAACTTTAACTTTATAATGATATAATTTGGTAATAATTAAGCGTGGCTGAGTCGTAGACTATCAACTATGTGCAGTTGAATGATTGATGGGGTCGGGTTAAAGATGGGCATTTTAGTCCATTTTGAAGAAATTAAAATGTTTTATAGGACGGATAAGATGAGAATGTTGAAATGTTTTGTAAGACGGTGCAGTGGGAGTGTACTTTAATCCAATAGGGCAAAGTCCATTTTTTTGTTTCGTGCAGGGCCACCAAATCCTCAAGGCCGGCCCTGGTATAGTCACACACCTCACCTTTATTCTACTGTCGTAGGATTCAATAAGGTTGTTATTCTTTGTATTATTGATTGATGAGTATATTTTTTGAATGAATGTAAAGGATTTACATTACTCCCTCCGTCCCACAAAAAAGTTCTCATTTTGAATAGTATTTAGTCAAATACTTACAAGCTTTGACCACAAATTGTGAGAAAGGTATATTGAATTATGAAATAAATTTTATATAATTGGATTCATCTTAGGATCTAGTTTTGATATCTCAAATTTTTTTAGCATTTCTTTATTTAGATTATATTTAATTTAGGGTCAAAGTGTGCAACAGTTTGACCAATTTATGGTCAAAATGAGAACTTTTTTGTGGGACGGAGGGAGTATAATTGTAGCTACTTTTCTATATTCTAATTTAATACGGTTTACAAAGTATTCTAATTAAAAAAACATGTATAGTAAGGTCATGTTCTCTCCAACTTATTACTTATTCTCATTGGAATCAGATCGGATCAGAAATAACTTTAAATATAACTTTTTTCAGATTAGATCAAATCAAAATTTATTCCAATCCAATCTGGTGAAGAGAACACGACCTAAGATTTTATAGTTCGATCCAATGCTTAACTACATTTAAATCATATTCAGCTAAATCTCCTAATAAATAGGATTTTCTTCTAAAGCTGATGAATATATACACATATGAATAGTAATTAAAATGAATGAAAATTTGGTTGACACAGGAGCGGGAGATTCTTGAGAGCCAACGGTGGGCTTCCGCCGTGGAGAAACTCCGTTACTCACGATACCTCCACTCATAAGATGGCGGTAGAAGACTGGCTTCTCTGGGACGTTCATGTTTTGGAAATTGTGGTGTCTTAATTATATATTATAATAATTTTTATTATTTTTATAAGTTTTGCCCATACAAACTTGAGAGGCTAAGAGATCAAAGAATTGTTTTGTTATGTTTGAACTAAACATGTTTTGTTGTGTTTGAACTAAAGAATTTTGAATTTTGAATATAAACCCATCAGATAATTGTCTATGAATTGTCTATGAATACATATGTGCTATTCAACATAAAAAGTTGAAAACCACTTGGTTGGTTCGGACGTCAAAAACCAACGCTGATAACAAATTAAACACTGAAAATCGAAGGATATGGTTTTTGAAAAGTAAGCATTTGGAGAACCTTTAAATGCACCCAAAAGCAAAAACCAAGGATAAATACTCAAAAACTATTTGACTAAAATCAATGTCAATAACTAACGCCGAACGCCGATAACCAACACTGAAAATCAAAGGTTATGGTTTTGAAAATTAAACATTTTGAAAACCGTACCTTTAAATGTGAGCAGAAGCAAAAACCAAAGATAAAAAACTCAAAAACCATTTGGGTAAAATCAATTCCAATAACCAACGCTGAAAACCGAACACCGATATTCAATGGTTATGGTTTTGGTTGAGCATGCAAGCACCGATATTCATTTGTGAAAACAATAGTTATTTTGAGCCATGGCTTAGAGAAATTGAATGACCTTGTTACAATAAAAACTGAAGTCTTTAGACAACGTCAATGTCGCCGTCTTTAGTAACGTCAATGTCTTTCTTGTGTTTTTTGTTCGTTCAAAGAAATTTTGCAATGACTTTGAAGCTTTTCATTTTGTTCCATGTTCCGATCGTTTGTCAATATCAAAATCTAAACAGAAACAAACATTATCATTAGCAAAATATCAATGTGAAAACGCTTTGTGTGCAGTCGTCCAATCTCAGTTTAAACCCTCATGCCGGGTCGAGCGCATTGAGGATTTTGCTTCCTCTTGTTGTACTTGTTGCCACCACTAGTAACATCTCGTTGGGAATGAACGAAAGATGAGAGCTCTTCTCTCTTCGTCAGATAAGATGGTGTCATTTTTTAAAAAAGTATAGGATATTTTTAAGGTGGGGTGTAGAGGGAATTTAGAATATAGAATAATTTTTGTATGAGTTGTAGAGAGATTAGGTGTATGTATTTTTTGAGAGGGTATTTATAGTTAAAAAATTTTTAATTTTTTTAAAATAGCCCAATAGCTTCTTCTTCTTCTTCCTTTCTCGCATTAAATGCTTATCGAAATACTGATGACGTCTTAATAATGACAAAGGGGCTGGTGTTTAACAACCTAACAACGTTAAACACGCGATGACACAGGGGGTGATACACTCGTTTCTAGTGCTCTAAGGTAGAGACTCTCGTTTGTTAAGATCATTTTTTAGACTTATTTTTTCAAAGGTACTTCAACATCATGGAAAAGGGAAAGATACTAAAGTAAGGACAACATATCTTTTTCGGGTGCTATTTAGATAATAAAAATACGGAATTCATATTTTGGTACTTTTTTATGTTTTACTCCTATTTAGGGTGATTTCTATTATGATTAATAGATATAATAAGAAATATATATATTATATTTATTTACCTTATTTATTACTCCCTCCGTCCGGAAATATTTTTCCCACATTCCTTTTTGGTCCGTCCGAAAATATTCTTCCCATTTTCTTTTTTAGTATACTTTTTAAGGATAAATATCAATAATATCCTTCTATTTTATCACAAATCTACTTTTTTAGTATTTTTTTAATAATAAAAGGAGATTTAAAAGTTTATAGTATGTGCATTTTTGAAAATTTTGCATTTTTTACTATTCCTTAATAAGCGTGCCAAGTCAACACGGGAAGAATATTTCTGGACGGATGAAGTATTTCCTTATTGTATTGTTAACATAGTTGTTCTCCTAATATGATTATAACCTTCTCATGTAATCCCTATATATAGAGAATCCCTATATATAGAAATGTATTTTTCATCATTGAATAAGAATAATTATTATCAAATTCTATCATGGTGTCGGAGCCAATGTTATCAAAAGCATAATCCTTCCTTTTTTGACCGAGCACATCATCGGTATCTGTTCACGGTGGTTGACTGTCTGATAGCCTGACATCACCGACCGATCTCGATGAGCGTGCCTAAAAGCCGTCGTCCATTATCCTAACATCTTTTTCTCTAAAAAAATCCATTATCTCTTTCTCTCCAAAAAAACTGTTATCTCCCTCTCTCTCTTCCAAAAAATCATATGCGTGATCGAAGAATAGGAAAGTTACATTTGTCTGTATTTTTTCTAGATATCGAGAACATGAAGCAGAGAACAGCCCCAAAGGAGAAAAAGAGAAACTCCTCCCCCTCGTTCCAATCGCCAACACTCTCACCAGAAAAAACTCACCAAACATAATCTCAAGCTCGTTCGTCATGCAACAAAAATCTATATATATATCTTTACTTTATAGGCTATCCTTACAAACTTGCTTCCACCAGCTGAATTCTATTTTTTGTACTCCAAGTTGCTCTTCGTTACTGATGATTAGCTTGTGGGGAAATATTAGGAATAATAGATATAATAGATACTCCGTATTAGGTAAACATAATTACCTTATTTATTATTTCCTTATTATATTGTCATCATAGAGATGTATTTGTATTATCAGAAATTTACTTAAATAGCACTAAAACATAATGAGTTTCCCTAAATAACACTACATGCGTTTTTCTTCCCAATGTAGTACTTTTAGTCATTATGCATTATTCATTATTCATTATTCAAGTAAGTATTCGTCATCACAGGACATTATGGACATTATTAAGTGCTATTTAGGGAATAAAACAATTTAAGTGCTATTTAGGGAAATGATTTAAGTTTTAGTATTATTTAGTGCAAATATTTCTTGTATTATTCAGTAAGATCAATTATTATCAAATTATATCACTCTTAGTGACCTAAAATTCTTTGCGCTCGCTCCTGGCGGGCAGCGCCGGCATAATGCCGCCCGCCGGGCCAATTTTCTTTTTCAATTTTAAAAATCCACAACTTCTCAAATTGTATAAATTTCTTCATGGGAAACATCGTGTCATATTCCGTATTTACCATTTAGGTAGATTTTGTAATTATTTTTAATGTCATTTATTTTTAAATCCGTATAAAAATACAAAATAAAATTGAAAGATGTAACAACTAGATTAAAATATCTACAAAATGAAAATGTGAAGTGACAATCTCCACTCATATCATTTTATTCTTCTCATTTGAAAAAATGTGTAAAATCACATTTTTTTAAAAAATGTATTTACAAATTGGCATATGAATAAAAGATACAAATTACATTATTCAAAATTACATCAAAAGTTTTACAGAATAAGAGTTGACAAGAATATCTTATTTTATCAAATAATAAACGATAAAGGCATACAAAAATAAATTATCTAGAGATCGTTATAATAACTAGATACTCCCTCTGTCCTAAAACTTTTTTCCCAGAGCACCATTCCAACTTCACGGGAATTTATATTTATTTGTGTTTTTTCATGGCCTATACGATAAAATAAAATATTCTTGTCACTACTTGTTTTGTTGAAATTTTGATGTAGTTTTTAAATATGTATGTTTTATTTTTTATTTCTATACCAATATTTAAATGAAATAGATTGAAAAAACTTGGAATTTTTCTTCGTTTTGCGTAACGGGAAGAAAGATATAGGACGGAGGGAGTATATAATTAATTTGGGCAGGAGAAAGTACTATTTTATGGTGACAATTTTTTTTGCACAGTATCGTGACCAATTGAAATAGGCAAAGTAAGAACATACTCCTTTCCTCTTACTGTTCTTGTCAAGAGTGACTTTTTACAAAAACAAAATTTGACCATCAATTAAATAAATATTTCGTACTACATTGTATATTAATAAAATAAAATAATTTTTTAAAACTTTTTTACAAGATAAATCTAACTAACAAAATTTTTGTACTAATATGTAATTCAATTTTTATTTAACCAACGATTAAAATTCATCTAATTTTATCATAAAAAGTTAAACTTAACAAACATACTCCTCATTAAGTAAAAGTATAAAATTTTTATTGCGTCCCCATGAGCAGCTCAACTGATTTTAGAGATAGAATTTGGAACAAAATATCAAGGGTCAAGCCTCATCAGTGGTCGTGTGGAGCAACCTCAGCTCTGAAAAAATGAGGGGTGCTTCTTGTGCGCATTGAGTACTGATCCTAGCGACCTAGCCTATATTACTGGTTAAGTCATCATGATTTAACTCCTTTGACATTCTCCTTGGATAAGGGGTGAGTAGGGGTGGACACGGTACGGTTCCGGTACCGCCACCCCATGGCACCGGCACCGTGACCGGACCGGCCGGTATCGGTTCTGGTTCCCGGACCGGCGGTTCCGGTACCGGACCGGCCGGTTTCGCCCCCCCCCCCTTTTTTTTGCTTTTTTAAAATTTCTAAAGTGTAAAATTGTAAATTCGCAATTGTTTAAGGAAAGAATGAAAAAAATCTAAAAATGTAGTTGTTATTTAAATATTGTAAAATAAGTAATACACGAAATGAAGAACAACTACATTTAATATCCTGACGGTTCAAAAAAAGCGACGAGGTAAAGAACCGTAAAGAAACCCTCGAAGGAGCTTATATATCGCTCACCTAAAAAAACTAATTACATATTTACATTAACATAAAAAAAGTTTATAACTTATTCTTCAGAACTCAGACTTCCATCTGTAGTTACATTCATGTAATGCTCCGAATTGAGTTGGTACGATGACTCTTGAGCTCGACGTCTTGCCAAGAGCCAATCTTGGTTGCAAACAAGTGTTTCAAGAGATTCAGCGCTAAGACAACTTCGGTAGTCGGTTAGAATGTTGCCGCCAGCACTGAATTCTCGTTCAACTGTTACGGTTGATACCGGGACGGACAACACTTGTCTTGCTAGCATTGTCAGACATGGGAACATGTGTTCGTTCCGCTTCCACCATCCGAGGACGTCAAACTCCACGTCCTCTTCGTCGTAATCGCATGGCACCCCTTGGTACATAGCAAGTTCGTTGTGCGAGCTTACTGTTGTACCACTTGAACTCCCAGAAGGCTGAGCACGCTTCCCTTTCTTTGCAAGAAGCCCACCGACTATTCCTTTAAAACCTTTTTTGATTTGGGGGGCGGAGGAGGTGCTGTTTCTTCTAGTACATTACCGTATACCCCTTGATATTCCTTAAACAAATTCTCAAAAAGAGTTATAGCATTATCTCTTTCATTTTTCGAGTCTATAAAATGGGTGTAGTAACAACTATTTTCATCCAAAAAACAAGTGTAGTAATAGTCAATTAAAATTTTAAAATTTTCAATCTTAAAGCGTGGATCACAAATAATACCTATTTTATAAATATCAGGAATGTACAAATAATATGCACACCATTTTTCTCTCATAGGACGGACATAAGGGTACAAATTTTCATCAGCCATACTTTCACGAAAACATGTTGCGATTGTAACGCACTCTTTGAAAAATGTATTTGTAGTTGGTTGGTAAACATGCGAAAAAGTAAGAGTTGCGTTATTAAAAACATCTAATACGGCATTCAATTTTTCAACAATAACAAATTCAATAGGTGAAATGATTATACGAAGTTCGGAGCTAAAAAATTCAGCAAGTTCCTCTTTATAGCTTAGAATCTGTGATATCAACTTGTAAGTACTATTCCATCTAATGTGGATATCTTTGGCAAATTGTACTTCTTGAAATCACGAAATCACGAAATGCAAGAACACGTTAATAATAATAATAATAATAATAATAATAATAATAATAATAATAATAATAATAATAATAATGATAATAATAATAATAATAATAATAATAATAAATAAAAATAAATATAATAACAATAATAATAACTACTCTATAGCACCGGCTTATGGTTCACAAAAAAAGTTGATGATAATAATAATAATAAATAATTAAAATAAATAATAATAAATAATAATAATAAAATTAATAATATAATTATTACGGAGTATATAAAAGAAGGAAAAAAAGGAGAGGGTGAGACAAATCGAGAGAAGGGATCGGAAGTAGAGGAAGAAAAAAGGAAAAGAAGAAGAAGAAGAAAAGAATAAGAAGAAGAAAAAGGAAAAGAAGGTCAATGTCTCAAAGAAGATGAGAAAAAGGAAGAGAAGAAGATGATGGAGGAATTGGTGTGGACGGAAGATTGACGGAATGTCACCTCGGGGAAAGTTTTTAAAAATTTTAAGGTGCCTCGGAGTATATTTTAAAAAATGATGGGACCTCGGAGTTATTATCACAAAACTGAGAGTACCTGACAGTAATTTTTTGTTTTTGGAACAAGTATTAAATTTTTATTGGTAGAGTTCCCATGACAATGGAACCGTATGTCATGGGATGACCCGGGGCGCTCCGGTACCCCGTTCGTAAGCTTGACGGTTCCTACCCTCCTAACTCCTAAGTACCTGGTTTTTATAATTTTTTAATATACAAATTATAAGATAAAATGGATTAAAAAAGTGCATTGGATGGTGCGCAAAAATGAAAGTGGACAAATAAAGGGGAGGGGACGGAGGGAGTATTAGTTTTCAACTTTGCAGTTGTGATGGACTATTTTTCCCATCATCATTCATGACTTTTTTTTTATAGTTATACTTCACATACACACGGAGAACAGAAAAAATGAAACTTTTGCTGTGCCTAAAATTTCCTGGCAAAAGGTTTTCATTTCCACTTTTTCAAGAAGAGGAAAGTTCTTCTCCTCTTTCCTCCTGTCCTCTCTTCTTGACAAAACTACATTCCAAAAGATCACTACCCATGAGAAGCACAATTCTTGCTTCTGTCACTCTCTTTTTTTCTCTCTTTTACCTTTCCACAGCTTTCGTCCCCCAAGATAATTACATCATCAACTGTGGATCGGGAAGAGATGCTATAGTGGACAACAGAAACTTTCTTGGGGATTCAGGCTTAACCCAAGGTAAATCAATTGCAGTGAAAACCAAGGTGAGCGCCAGTTCCAATTTGTCTCTTCTTTACAGCACAGCTAGAGTTTTCACAGCTGTCTCTGCGCCATATTCATTCAAAATCAAGAAATTAGGGACCCATTTTGTGCGTTTGCATTTCTCTCCATTCTTTTCTGAGACCTATGACCTGAAGAATGCAAATTTTAGTGTTTCGGCTAATGATGTTTTGCTGTTGAGGAATTTCGGTGTCGGGTCTAATGTGGTTAAGGAGTTCATATTGATGGCTGACAAGGTAGAGCTTACAATCTCGTTTGCCCCAACCCATGATTTTGGGTTTGGGTTTGTTAGTGCGATTGAAGTGATTTCGGCTCCGGACGATCTCATGGTTGATCCGGGCATTAAATTGGTTAGTCCTAATGGGATTACGGAGTTCAATCCGAATGTCACCTTGCAGACCTTAGAGACTGTGTATAGAATTAATGTTGGAGGGCCAAAAATAACCCCTTTCAATGATACCCTTTGGAGGACTTGGGTTCCGGATGAAGATTTTCTTGTCTTCAAGGCTGCAGCTAAACCTGCTTCGATTAGTCATGTGCCGAATTACCAAAGGGGTGGTGCCACAAAAGAGATTGCTCCTGATAGTGTTTACATGACTGCACAACAGATGGATTGGGAAGAAGCAACTACGAATTTCATGTTTAATATATCATGGGATTTTCCCCTAAGGTCTAAGGAAACTATGGTAGACTACTTTGTTCGGTTGCATTTCTGTGATATTGTTAGTTCTGCTCCAAACCAGTTGTACTTCAACGTGTATATCAATGAAGTCATGGTGTATAAAGATCTTGATCTATCTGCACTTACGTTCCACGTTCTTGCGTCACCATATTATATTGATCTTGTGGTGAACCCTGGGAATCGTGGGCTTTTACAAATCAGTGTTGGTCCATCTGATCTTAGTAGTGTTTTGAAGAAGAATGCTATTCTGAATGGAGTAGAGATAATGAAGATGCTAGGTGTCGTCTCTCCGAACGCTAAGAAGACGAAAATATGGGTTTTTGTTGTTCCCATCATTGGTGGGGTGGTAGCCTTGATGATAATTATGGCATTGCTCGCGAAATGTAGGAAAAAGAAACCAAAGGCGAACCGGACAGAGAGTGCTGTGTGGACCCCACTAAGACAATATGGAGGAAGCTCTCCTGGTACGTTGTCGGAAGGGACGGGCCTTGTCCCCGTGGGCCCAAACGGATTTTTCGGTCTGAGAATTCATTTTGCAGACATACAATTGGCCACAAGTAATTTTGACAAGAGTCTGATCATCGGTACTGGTGGGTTTGGCATGGTTTACAAGGGAGTTCTTAGAGACAACAGGAAGGTTGCTGTTAAACGGTGTGTGCCTGGTTCCAAGCAAGGCCTCCCTGAATTCCACACTGAAATTTCGGTTCTTTCCAAGATTCGGCACTGCCATCTTGTCTCACTTGTTGGGTATTGCGAAGAGCAGTCTGAAATGATTCTTGTGTACGAGTACGTGGAGAATGGGGCTCTAAAGAAGCACTTGTACGGCAGTCAATTACCCCCACTTTCTTGGAAGCAGAGGCTGGAGATATGCATAGGAGCTGCAAGAGGCCTCCACTACCTCCACACCGGTTTCTCCCAAGGGATTATCCACCGCGACATCAAGTCAACAAACATTCTGCTTGACCAAAATTTTGTCGCAAAAGTTGCCGATTTTGGCCTCTCAAGGTCTGGTCCGTGCCTTGATGAGACCCATGTTAGCACCGGTGTGAAAGGGAGTTTTGGTTACCTTGATCCAGAATACTTTCGAAGACAGCAACTCACGGATAAATCAGATGTTTACTCGTTTGGGGTTGTGCTTTTTGAAGTTCTTTGCGCAAGACCCGCCGTGGACCCTTTGCTTGAGAGGGAGAATGTGAATTTGGGTGAATGGGCATTGCAGTGGCAGAGAAAGGGTCAGTTACATGAGATCATAGACCCAAAACTTAGAGGTCAGATTAAACCAAGTGCCCTAAAAGTATTCGGCGACACAGCTGAGAAATGCTTGGCAGATTATGGGGTTGACAGGCCAACAATGGGGAGCGTGTTGTGGAACTTGGAATACGTGCTTCAGCTTCAAGAGAATGAATCTGAGGATGGCGAAGCCCGTCTCCCAAGTTCTGTAGGGAACCCTCCCTTGCCGCGTAGGGCTATTTCCACTGCCAGCTCAGCAGATAATTGTGATGCTGTTTCGGACATATCAATCAGCCAAGTGTTTTCACAGCTGATTACCCGTGAAGGTCGGTAGAGTTTGTTTTACCCTACACAATTTCGAATAATCCTATTTGAGGGCAACCAATCTCTTTAATTAGGACTAGAGAAATGTTCACCGGGTTCTAAAGCAGAACTATTGTGGCAATTTGTGACATACATGACGCATAACCAGCAAAGTTCCATTTTAACAAATGGCCTTTTAAGAGCTTGATTGAAGTTGGACTTTGAAAGACATTTGGGGAATGGTTTGTTATTAATAGGTGTACTTGTAGGTATTTTAAGCAAACTTTGAGGTGTACTTATACAAATATTTATGAGTACACCCATTAGTTATTACCCCGGTTCATGTGACATTGTTATAGCATGACCTGGGGCACTTACGATAGTATGTTCAAAAAATTGATGGTTCCTACCCCCACCTTGCCTCGACCTGAACTTACCACCACTCTCTTCAGTTGCACCTTCTAAGTTTATTTGACTTTGGAGTCAAAATTTTGACTCCCAAGTCAAATAAACTTCGAGGGTGCAATCGAAGGGGGGTGGGTTTGCCAGGGAGGTTAGGAGAAGTAAAACTCGTCAATTTTACGAACAGGACACCAGAGGACCTTCGGGTCATTCCATGACATTGATTTATCAATGTCATGGGAGCCACTATAGATTTCACTACAATTGAAGCACGCTTGTAATGTGAGAGTTGTGAGATGGAATTTGTGTAATTTTAGGACGTAGAAATTTGTGTAATTCTCTATAATGATATTTTTCTTTACAAGCCATTGCATTTCGTGTTGGGTGTTACGTCACCTGTGATAGAAATTAAGAACATTTTCTTTTGAGTAAACTGCATAAAAGGTTTCCAGTTATAAGTCGTTTTACATATTTAGTCCCTACATATCAAATATTACTAATTTAGTCCCTAATTATTATACGCAGTATCATTTTTCACGAATGATCATTTGTTAACATTTTTGTTAAGAACATGTATAAAATTTTATACTACCTCCGTCCCAGAGTATTTGTCCACTTTCATTTTTACACACCATCCAATACACTTCTTTAATCCATTTTATCTTGTAATTTGTATATTAAAAAATTATAGAAATTATATATTAATAATCTATATGTTAAGACAAATCAAACAAGATTACACATTACTATATTTAGGCTTACACATTGAGAAAATTTGATGAGTCAAAGTGCTTAGATAAATAGTTCCAAAAGTCAAAACTGGACGAATACTCCGGGACGGAGGGAGTATTCATACTTCTCTCTCTCCTCAATTAAGCTTCCTCCCTCCTCTTGTACTCTTTTCCAAACTCGTCGCTGAGTCTGACGCTCTACACCAAAATTGAAATGATCATTCTTTTCTCAATTATTAGTCTACCTGGTGGAACCTAAAATCAAAACCAATAAGCTTTATGAATGAGTTTTATCGGTTAGTCTCAAAAAATTGTAAAGAAAATAAACATTAAAACTCACCTATGAAGGTTACTGATTTCGAATTATCGGAAAAAATTGTACTGAATTATCGGAAAAAATCACAAGTTGGGTAGTTTCATTTTAGAAAAAAACAATGTGGATAATAGAAGATTACAACAACAACAACAACCCAGTTGAATCCCACAACAGTAGGGTCTGGGGAGGGTGTGTGTACGCAGACCTTGCCCCTACTCGGAAGTAGGGAGGCTGTTTCCAAGAGACCCCCGGCTCCACCTGCACAAAAATATGGAAGAGAACACAGTATAGCACAGATAAGGCACCAAGTATAAGCAACAAGTACAAACAATAGCAAAAGATTCCCAACAAATACAACACACTACAAAACAACCTCTACAACACCGAGCTCCTATCCAGCTACTCTAATCTTAGTTCTCCAAAGGTTCCTATCTAGGGCCATATCCTCAGTCAGGTCGAGAAGTCCTAAATCCTGTCTTATCACCTCCTCCCAATTCTTCTTAGGTCTACCCCTTCCCCTACTTCCCCCGATAACCGTAATCCTCTCGCATCTCCGTACAGGGGCGTCGGCATCCCGCCGTCTCACATGGCCAAGCCACCTCAACCTCGCTTCCCGCAACTTGTCTTCCACCGGTGCCATACCTACTTGACGTCGGATAACCTCATTCGAAATCCTATCCAACCTTGTCTTCCCGCACATCCATCGTAACATCCGCATCTCCGCCGCATGCAGACGACGCACATGAGTCTTCTTAACCGCCCAACACTCTGCCCCATATAACATAGCAGGTCTGACTACGGATCGATAGAACTTACCTTTCATTCTAGGCGAAATCTTCGGATCACACAACACCCCTGAAGCTAACCGCCATTTGGCCCAAGCCACTCCAACCCGATGTCCAACATCCGC